CACCACTTGCTGGGGAGAGGGCCATAGCTGGCAGTACAATCCCTTTGGTAGGATACATGTCAATATATGAACAACTTCATGCTGCTCACATCAGAAGTTATGCTTGGAAAGACTGCTAGTATATTGTCTATGCATAGAGTACTGACATTTCTTCCACATGTTGCACTTCAGAGTAGCCTGCTAATTTATTAGGTTGTTGTAATATGAGGATCATAGCTTGCAATCATGAGCAACATCCCAATTGAGTAAGTTATTATATATTCATATGAGACTCTCTGTTGCTCCGTTGAGAACACAGACATTATGGATCTGTTTCTTACTTGGTAAATTGCCAAGTTGCTTATCAATATGATCTGTATACTAATTAGCAGTGTTACTGGTTTGTATTGATAGTAACATAGAGCAAATAGCTTGGGAATGTTGCACAGAAGTAAGGAGAGCCTCTAGATCAACTAGAACTCAAGGAAGGGGAATCTGGGGGGTTGACTACAGTAACCACTACTCAGTTGGGACTTGCTGTCAGTGCTGTTGTACAAGTATTAGCCCTTGATCAGAGAAATTCTGATACCAAAGGATGTCTTTCAGTAGATTGTTAACAATACTTCCCCAAGTACAAACCAATCAACAGTGGAGGATGGAACCAATATACAGAGGAGAAGTATACCAGTAAGGAATTCTGAAAAAGGCCTGTCAAGAATTGATGTGTTATACAAGGAATACAACCAAAGAATGTGCAGTTTGCTCTCACCATAAGTGAACAGTTACCAGACACTGAGCAGTAGTACAAAGCCATACTAAAGTATGTTACTGGATTGGAGCTCAGCTCCTGAGGCAATAGTAATGGGCTCATGTAGTACAATGTGAAGCAATGTATCACCATAGTAAGTGCCATCAAGACTGATAGAGTCATGGGCAGGATTGATCACTGATGAATTGAAGGTACACTGGCATAAGAGTACAGAAGCAAGTGGTAGATGAGATAAATGTTTGGACTTGCTCAGAGGGATGCTCCTTTTGTGCATTTATGCACAGCCTTTTAGCTACATAAATTACTTCATAGAATCCTACAAAATAGTAGAAGACTCAGTACACCACTTTCCAAGGCCATTCAAAATGCACAATAAGCTCACAGGCTCATTGTAAGGCAAGGGTAGATGTGCCAATAATTCTCACTGATCATCAAGGATGTGCTCTGTGATTCATGACACACCACTTGCATGTTGTCCTGAAACACTGGCACAGCCTTATGAAAACTCAGAAATAGTGTACAGCTTGACAAGTCACTCATAGATTGCCTGCCCGCTGGGATAATATATCAATAGATAACATAGCCTATTCTATCTTCACATACCATGGGCCATTGCATGAGAATAGGATGATGGTAGTGCATACAGACATTAGATATGCTCCAGGCAAAAAGTATATGAGCAATTAACAACCAAGCATAGCACCATCATACTGTATAATTGGCACTGCTTCATATTGACACAATCAGTCAAAGACATGCTTATACTGGACTGGGACAACAGAGCTGCAGACATCAGGCTGTGAACTCTGCATTAGCACATCTGAGATGTACTGTCATGCATTGGCCTACAACAGTCAGCACAATATGATGTCATGGGATCATCTGATTTTATCTCATTTCCTACCATTTATCTAGCATTGCAGAGACCATCAAAGCATTTGATCACCTATGTGTGGTGTCCCTACTTTATGACATTGCTAGCCTATAGACTTTCTAGCAACAGTAGTAGATGCACAACACAACTTGTACAATGTCTTTCTATCACTTTCTAGGATCAGTACAGTGTCATAAAGCTCTGCAAACCCATAATATTGATAGCTATGCCATTCACATGTGAGACAGAGTTACGGTATGTCTTACGTTATCTGTTTGTCTTTGTTTGCCTGAGGACTTGTATGGTGTGCCAGTGCACCTACGAGTCCTCAGCCTTTACCTTGTCACCACCTTTGTATGCATTCTGTAGACAGTACTCCTTGAATAGAGACTGGGTGCAGCGCATACGAGGCACAACAAGTAAGGCACCCTACAATATGGTAACATGCTGTAAACATCACAGACCTCATTAACATGCCATAGTACTTGATGAATATCTTCTCAATTTATCTGCAATTTATGAACCACCAGACATTCACTTCAGTGAGAATTACTGGATTTGGAAGGTTTCTCACCATTTAGGGCAATGTGAGCTTTTGTGATGCTTCTTGTCCCACAACTTGCCTGGAATGTGTATTTTCCTGGATAACATCAGTGACAGATCATTGAGTATGTATACATATCTCTGTTGCACCAAAAAAGGCACAATGGCCACTGTGTCTAGCCAGTCACATGATCAATGATGTGGGGTCGCAGCACTCGCAGCAGTGTTTTATCGCTGCGAGTGCTGCGACCGCACGTCATGGATCATGTGACTGCAAAAAAGCGGTCAAAAATGCGCAGAATATTCATTCTGAGGACAAAACCTACTGATTTGGGCCCAGAAAAATCGCATAAATCCCCAATAAATTGGGGGACCTCTCTGTAGCTATCTTGAAGTACTTTGAGGTTGTATGATACCAATATGTCTACAATCACAGGTGCCACAAGGCTGCCAATCAGCTTTCATGACACGATAGTAACAGTACCACATTGGGTGTTACCTGTGGCCACTCTATGATATCTTGGAGTGAATGCTCAAGATGAGAGCACAATGTTTAATGTTTGAGGATTCAGACAGTATGACATTGAGGTATCCAGTACATATGTAGCCTGACAAGTGAGAGTATGCACATCTAACAATATCACTAGACACAGCCATGTGTGTGCTCCCAATATGTCTGATATACTCACCATCACACCAGAGTGGGTCTACTATTTTCCCCAGCAACTGCATTACATTGCACCCTGTGCCAATGAGTGTAGGAATGCATACTATGCTAATTGTCATTGATACAGACAGAGAGCACAATTGAGAAATTTTCAAATGCCTATAACTATGGAAAGATGCAAAATGGGTCACATAAAGCACTGTAATCCATGAGAAGGAGCATCAGCAACTTTGAATGTCTCACAATAGCATTTCAAGAACAGGACACAGGACACATATAATGCATGTATGCTGACTAGGCCCACAAAGCATTGCCCAGTGTGAGATTGCCAATTGGGAGGGCACCTGCCATATGTAGTAGTAATCATGATTGTGTGATAGCTTCTTCACAGACCTCCTCATAATTTCCATAGCCTTCATATGGAACAAAGCATGAACATGTGCAGGATATTCATTTTGAGGCCACTTAACCTCCTTGTGTAGGCTCAGAAAGAAATCCCAAACCCCAGAAAATCAATGAAGTACTAATGAATGACATATGTGGTCATTTTGCTCACCCAAAGCTCTGGACTACAGCTGATCCTTCTGAAGAAGTGAAAGGCTTATGCAGACTGCCTGCTATTGTGCAAGAAAAAACAGTGATGTTGATGATATAATTCTTATTTACAGGTTCTTGCTCTCCATTGAATATTTGTAACAATGTCTGGGTCAGATTGTTGCTAGTAACTTGTTACATATGTCTGTAGTGACAGAGACATGCTATGGAATGGTGTTGGGACAAGTGATGAGGAGGAATACAGATGAGAATTCCAGTATACTGTATCTTGACCATGTGACTGACTGTTTTTCCACAGCATGAGCTAAAATTCAGGAACAAGGATCATGAATGTACCAAACTTAACCTGAACAGACTTTGACATTGGGAAGGTCTAGGCCAGTATAGTAACAATTTGTAGGGAAGTATATGACTCCCTACCCAGCTCAAATGGTACAATGAACTCTAATAATTATCATTATTCATTCATTAGCATGCTCTACACAGATTATGTAATAGAAAAGTCTGCCAGTTTGAGGTGGTATCATTGTTCAGTGTTTGAGACAGTACATTATATCGACATGGTATAACAGGACAGCTTAGCTACAGTTAGGCAAGCAACTGTGCAACTGCACATATGGTAATGGCTGTATAGCAATATTGGCATAGCTACCTGGAATCAATCATTTTTCTTTGGAAAGGTTATGGATTGTCTAGGACACTTAAGACTCAGGATTTGTGCTACCACATTGAGGATGATGAGCTGAGCCATATGAATGTAAACATCTCTGTTACTACTATGATACTCCCTGATGAATAAAATTAGGCTTGTGCAAGGTTAGTATTATTGTTAAAGCTTGACAACTGCTTGGTCTAGTCAAGCACAGAAGTTAGTCTCACAGACTAGTATGTATCAATACATAATACATATAATCATTGATAAGTGAGATTGAAGTGAGAATTTGATGAACCAGAAAACAAAAGACACAGACAACACAACTGGGATTGTATTGCCATACATGGCCCACTCCCCAGCAAGTCCCATGGGAGCATCACATTTCAGTCCATAATGACTGATACAGGCAAGGCATGTGATGTCAGTAAGGGTGAGACAGGTATACCTACCATATTAGGAATAGGTGGAGGTGCATAGACAGATGATACATGTTGCCTAAATAGGCCACATCATCCATATGTCCACCATCTGGTGCCTATCCTATGTATTACTGCTATTTATGACCCCAAAAACATCCCATTTGGCCATGTACACCAGCATATTAGGGGGGTGGCCAAAGACCAGTCGCAACTGGTTGCAACCAGCCTTTTGACCAGTCCCTCCAATTTACCCAACCCTCGAAGACTGCAACTGGACTGGATAGGACCAGTCCTACTTTCACCAGTCCAGTCCAGTCTTTCCAAGGCCAGTCCCAGTTCAGTCCCAGTCTTTTTCCAGTCCATGGACTGGACTTTCAAACACTAATCTAGTAAGGTACACCGTAAACAGGTAGGTAGTCGGCATGGGTAGATACAGGTGGAGCGACGAATTTTGCACTGATGTTGGAGAGGAATACGAATGAAACAGTGGATACTATCTGGGAAATGGAAGACACACACTGAAATCCCATCCTCCTTCCCTAGTGTTCCTCCAGTCCTTCCTCTGCGGTTATCACGGTGCAGCCGTCTTCACCTTCGAAGGGTCGCACGGCGACCTTGCCCATGGGATGGGGACGGTGGACGACCTTCCAGTTCGCACATAGGTACCGACAAGGTTTCTGCAGACCCACAGGCCATAGGAACAGCAAGTCGACAAATCCCACCTTCATGGAGCACAAAGGTATGATGGGCCGCTCGCCTCGTGTGTAGCTCCCTGTGAGGTCTGTGTCTTCGATGAGGGACTCTCTGTAGAGAGGGATCTGGCGGAGAGGGAGAGGGAAGTCTTGCTCGGGCGTATCCGCCCAGATGAACTCGTTTGTGACGGTGTTGAAATAGTCGTACACTGTTAATATGCGAGATTTTGCCTTGTTCAGCCCCGGAAAGACCAGGATGGTCAGGGGCTGAACCAAGGAAATGGAGATCTTGTTGTCATATACATCACATATGAGCGGGATGGATAGGGGAGCATAGTGGTCCTGTTCAGTTCCGGCATTTGTCAGACTGCAGTGTTAAGGAATATGTACCACGCACCAAATAATAGAATAAAACTGGCACTAGTGCTTTCCTCGTCGTACCCTTGAGGCAGGCTGGCACCCATCTGTCTTGCCCGCCGTAGCTGTCGGGAATCACACCCAGGAAGAACCATCTGCCCAGCTGTGCTGGCGGATCAAGCTCTTCGATACAACGGAGAGCCAAGTGTAATTTCTGCTGCAATAGTTGGATGGTCTTGTGTGGCCTCATTGGGCAGGAAGATGTGTTGAATATCGGGCACTAGATTGTGCGGAGTACTGATGATGAGCAGAACTATTTTACGATTATTTAGTCACTTAACAGTACTACTGGAATGAGTTTTAAGTGACTTCACGGTGTAAGTATTGATGAGCATGAGTGTCGTAACAAGTACCTATGATGTAATTCATAACAACAGTACTTGAATTGTACGGAGTACTTGTCGAGTGCACCCGCTACAACAGTACTTGTGGTCGTAAGTAGTACCTGTCAAGCCCACTCGTGACAACAGTACCTCATCAGGAAAAACCCTTTGGACACCCAACCGATTGGGCAATATCCTTGAGATCCAAAAGACGTCTCAATTAATAATTTTACTAGTGTTTGCTCTACAACCGGTTCTCAATCGACTGTTCAATATATCATACGAGTTGTAGGAACAGCAGGCTGTCAAGACCGTGGCTGAACTATGACCAAGTGAGGTCTTTTCCGTAGTCATGCAACTTCATCAGACAATCCATTATAATCTATTCATTCACATGCAGTATATATAGTACTTTGTTGTAGATACTTTGTTGTAGGCACTATGTGATCATGGCTAATGATAATACCGGACTCGTTTGGCCAGGCTGCAAATTGCACACAAGAGGTGGGGGTTTCACTCGGCAGACAGGTACGGTAGGGCGAACGGGCGAGCGGGTGAACAAGTGAATGGGCGGCGGGCAAGCGAACAAGGGAGCATCTAGCCAGCATGGGTGGCAGACTCGCATTGCACCATACAATGTGTCTGCAGGGCGTGAGCGCGCACGGGATGTTCAGCGCGATGAGGTAGTGGGCAAACAGATGAGCCAGCGAAGGGACAGTTGAGCCAGGCAAGGGACAGTGGAACGAGCGAGTGGGCGGAGGAACAAGTGAGTATGGGCGGATGAGTGAGTGCGGATGGGTGTGTTACCGGGCGGCCGGACAGACCAGTGGATGGATGGGCAGGTGAGTGATTGGCCAGGAGAGACGAATTGACAGGTGGGCGAGCGTGCGAGGCACAAGCGCATGGGTGCATGAGCGCATGGGTGCATGAGCACATGGGCAGCAGAGCAGGCAAGAATGAGTGGCCGGGCGAGCAAATGAAGGCACATGCATCAAACGGGGTGCACCGTCTGTTTCTGAGCTTAGCAGTCGCTGCAGAGACGAACACGGAGGCGAGCGGGCAGGCGAGGCAGTGAACTGAAGGGTGAGTGGACAATCGGACGGATGAGAGTGTGGAGATATGAGTGAGTGCACGTACATGTGGGGACAAGAGTTTTACCAGCCAATCGGACAGATGAGCGTATGGGAGAGTTGAAGATACTAGTAGTAAAAATTGACATCTAGGGCAGAACATACTTGTCAAGCCTACGTAACAATGAGGGTCTCCACCCCATCCTCCACAAGCCAAATCTCCGGCTCCTGCTCCTGCGCAAAGTCTTCAGCTGCTTGATCTGCCAGTGCTGCATTGACCGTGACTGACTCCAGCTTCAAGAACTTCCGACGAACCACCCACGTAATGTTCTTGTACTCATGAGGATGGTGGTCGTACACACTCGGCCACAGAAATGGCCCGTCCATGAAGGACACTTTGAGCACGCACATGGGTAGAAGATCGACCTTCACGCCACGCACGTAGTCAGGGGCGTGAGCGGCCAAGGTAACGGATCCCAGCTTGAAGACGGGGACGAGAGTGAGACGGTGTGGAAAGAGGTGGCTACGACGTAGCGGTTGCTTGGATGTGGTCATGAAGGACTGGTCCTTCATGCTGTATTGGTCAATTTTGAAGTGTGTCTCTTTGCCGAAGGAGAGCCCTTTGTAAGGGCTCAGAACACCAAAGACTTGCGTAAATAGCGGTTGATCGAAGGATAAAACGAGGCTATCCTTGCTGACATGCCACACGAGCAGCAGATTCACCGGCGAGAAGGCCTCCTGAGGAGAGGAAAGTGATCATAAGTCATTCCTGTATGGTCGAGGAGGACTAGTAGCAACACACCCGATAATAAATGAACGTCTCGACAATGACTTTCTCCCCCTCTGCCTCAGCTAATCCCCCGGGATTCGCACAATTTCCCCTAGGTACGCCCATCCTCCTAGTCTCGCTGGTGGTTCCATTGTTTGTGCGAGGCGAAGGACCTCCTCCAACACCTCTTGTTCCCCCTGCTCGCTGCTCGCATGCGCTGGGCATTCCATCCCACAGAAGAAGGGACACTGAGACGATGTTATTATCCATTTATGAGCCACAAACCAAGAGACTCACGTAATCGAATAGTTTCCCAAAATTCTCCTTACTGTTCTCCAAGCAGACCACGGTTACATGGTAGAGCTCATCGGTTTCTGCCTGCCTGGGGCAACGTGTCGTATATCTGGCTGCCATTTGAAAAGACGGAAGCACCGGCCAGAGAAGATCAATGGCTCACATTCTTAATAATTGCATGGTCTGATAAAGAATTGAAGTTAGTCCATCAGACTAGTATACATAAATGTATTAAATGATGTTCAAGCACTGTATCAATCATCCATGAACAATGTAGCACTGTCGGAGATCTCTGCAGTGCTGTTGGTTGCATCGTTTATGAATGATGTAACACTGTCACATACATCTGCAGTGATTGTAGCCGGCAGTGTTGTATCATTCATGAACGATGCATCCGACCTGTTGCATACATCTGCAGTGATTGTAGCCGGCAGTGCTGTATTGTTCATGAACGATGCATCCTACAACTGTTGGGTGCATTGTTCACGAACGATACAGCACTGCCGGCTACAATCACTGCAGATGTATACAACAGGTCGGATGCATCGTTCATGAACGATGTAGCACTGTCGGACACAGGGCTCTTGTCACAGTGATGTTGGAAATGTCTGCTCGCTCTACATGAATATTATGTATGTTGTGTCATGTCGGACCATAGGCTGTAAAGTTGGGATATCTTGGGGCAAAAAATCCATACCCACACCCATGTTTCTCCAATACGTCGAATATGCACTGTTTTTCCCCTGTTTCATCGGTTTTGGTACCTGTTTGGAGGGTAAAACCCAACATTTTGTAGGCAAGAGTGGTGCTACCCGGACCCTATCCCAACCTGTACCCCCTTTAGAAAACACTATATAATGTGGTATGCATGTACAGTCTGTGGATGTGCACAGGTGTGCACCTTCACACTCAAGTAATTTAAATGTTCACACTTTCCTTATCTAGAAAATTCCTTATATAGAAATTTCTATATGGGGTAATCAGAGGGTACTCTGTGCTCCAATGTCCTACAGAAACAGCCTAAGATTCCAGTTGGAAGTGGGCAAGGAGTGCTTCAATAAAGAGGGAGACAGGACGGATACCTGTGCCAGATGGAGTGCCTATAGGAAAGGACCGCAATGTGCACATCAACTTGGCGCAAAGACCAGGAAGGCTGTCTATCATCCACTGGAGCTCCTCTGCACGTCAGAAGTGACTCATGGTGAGTGGCAGCTGAGTGACAGACATGAAGTAGGCAAGGTGTGTGTAGAACAGTCCATGGGGCCGTACCACCATTGCCAAGTCTAGTCCTGAGATCTGTAGTGCCTTCAAGTGTAACAGATGCTGCCTGGGCATGCACAGAGGGAAGATGTGCACAAACAGCTTATCGTGCTGTTCATACGACTCACACATAATCCATTGCCATGCTCCTCTACTTCACGGCATTGTGCTTCTTACACGTACATGAACATCTGCTACAGTCCCAACTTCAATGTTGTCGCAACAATCAAAATGCTATGGCTGCATACCAGTCATATACTTCCATGAAAAAAGGGCATTGTTGTACTCACCATTCTTGATGTTTTTGCATAGATGTCCCGGATTCTTGACGAGCCTAAGGTAATCGGCTGGCCCAGAGTGTCCTCGTCCCTGGTGTTCAACTCCTCCACAGTGTCCTCTGCCTCCCTCCTGACCGCTTTGAGGATGCGGAAGTCAGTGACCATGATGTAGACGGCTGTTGCATTTGGTGCGAAGGTGGTATGCTCAACGAGCTCTAGTGATAGGGGTGGCCAATGAATTGATTGTCGGCAGTCTTGTTGGCAGTCTCCGGAATGGAGCTCCCCTTTCTTCCATTCCTCGGGAGCTTCCAGCCCAGCCATGACCGGCCTCATAACTCGTGCGGACGCAGGACATTAACATTGTGCTTGCAAAAGGGCAGGGGCTCCAACTTAAAAGCTCAAGCTCTGTGGGCTTTGTCGGCCAGACCGACAGCTAACATGCAGAGGAGCTGGGCCATACATGTTACTGGCCCACATGCCATGAGCACCAATGCTCTGACTGCCATCACTGCAGCCCTCGGCCATACCCCGGGTGTTACATTCTTTATCCAGGACTTTTACGATCCCTGAGGTACGAAGGTATCGTTCTTATGATGGACCACCATGAAACGCCTTAGTGATTCCTCCGGAATGGCAGTTTGTTCCCACAGTGCACGTGACTTGCAGCCACCCTGATAAGCAGAGATAAGTAACTGTTAGTATGGGTTGCTTATCTGAGTCTGAAATTTCATACTCCCAGACGACGCGACTTGGACCAACAGATACAAACAAATGCAGTGGCTAAGCGCTCAGTTATGGATATGAGGCCCATGAAACGCCTTAGCAGTTCCCCCAATAAGGAAACTGGTAAACATATCATGTGACTGGCAGCTTGGTGGGCCATTGCTCCAAGCGCTCACACACTGTAGGGCCTATATAGTCTCAGCCAGTAACAAATCATAGTATACATAGTATACTCATCTGATAGCCCTCCATGCAGAGAGTATACAGGGATTTTACTGAGTGCATACAGTGGCTGGCTAGGCCAGGAAATGCAAAGCAAAAAAATGCACATGTGCCTCTGCAGATTCAATCTGCTTGTTTATGACTCAAATATGGTCTATATGTACACTGCAATGTATATGTGTAGTTCAGACACTGTGGACTACTCAGTAGCTTCAATAATACAGGTAACAAGGACTATAATGGGTAATCTGAGCATCTTTTGCCATATTATGGCCCTTGCATACAATGTAATGGTAACCATTGCAGCTCAAGGCAATCATACACTTGTATTTGATGTGTCTGTATATTTCATAGATTTTCTGCATTTTTCTGAGCCCTACATGCCCCTGTTTGTGTATGATTCCTCTTTGGGAAGGTCACATACTCCATATGGTAATTATGCATCCACTGCTGGCTTTGTCTTGCTCACAGACACAATCTAGGGATACATACCTGAATGTGTACATACACTACCATCTTATAGGGTTGTCCAGTACATGAGCAGTTCCAAGAGTGAAGTAGCAGGCTTATATAAGCTCACTGGGGCCACAGTAACCATCTTACTAGGTTATTGAGAATGCTATCTGATCTGATGTCAAACCCATGCAATATACAGCTTCATTCACATTGCCTGGATCATTTTGAATATTGTCTCAATTTTCCGCTTTTTCTGAGTCTAAACAAGCTCTCTTAAGCACAGTAACAGTCCGCACTTACATCGCTTACTAAGCGCCCATCAAGCGCCCAGATGCCGTTCGGAGGTGCAACCGTGCGGAAATTTGGCACGGTTGCACCTCCGAACGGCACAAGAGGGATGCCGAGCTGCTCTGATTGGTGCAACAAGCCCTTTTCTGCCCTAATCAGGCAGGCTGCCGAGGTTTTGAGCTGAGTTTGAATCTCAGCCACAGGCTCCTTAGTGGCACTGTACCTGCTGTACTGTGGCCCCACTAAAATGTGGAACATTCCCAAAATAATCTCTGTGATAGGTATGATGTCATAGAGTCTATAGCTGCTGTGACTTGCCCATTACCTTCAGTGTTTATGGCACAATTCACAAAACAAAAAACATGCAAATGCCTCTGTGCACATGAGTGCATACATTTTCACCTCAAAAGTCTCTCTTTTGAAGCCTATATGCTGCCCACAGATTCTCTGACATCTCAAACCTGCTAAATAGGGTAGCTGACCTTCCTAAAATGGTAATTTTGCTTAACCTGCTCAGTCTGGGCTCACAAAATGCAGATAAAATCAGGGAATATTATGTGTAATCAGACTCATCTGTATTTCCTTGTATATGAAGGCAATTCATCTTGTATGGAGGCCCCCACAATATATGACTAGTATGACTTGCCCAGTTGTTTGAAATTCAGGAAACAGAGAAACACATGCATGAATGTGTGGCATTTGACTGGGATACACTGACTGAAATCTAATTAACTCTTATAGAGGTTATAGAGATGATAAACTCATTTGATAGCCCATCATTTCAAGGGTTAATCATACATTGGAGGAATGAAGAACAAAGGACAACATTTAGAGAATCACAAGTGACTGTGCCAATATGAATGGCCTGTTGTCCCTGAAACACATTGCCTATGACCTGTATAGATATGTGCATAGTTTACAATGCATGGATGTGTCTGGAAGTTGCACAGCACAGCTATTGGTGGGGAAAAATGGTAATAACATGCATGTTTTGATGTCTCAGCACTGAATGACTATATAGGGAATGTTCTCCACTTGTAAATATGCTCAGGGATGCTCCACATATATCCTGGAATATTGTCTGATTAATCCGCATTTTCTTGACCCCAGAACAAGTGAATTGTGCTGCAGTAACAGTGTGCACTTACATCGCTTACTAAGCGCTCGATTAGGCGCCCGTTGCCGAAGCGGAGTCGTCGACAGGCCGGAATTCCGGCCTGTCGACGACTCGGTCACTCAAAGGGGATTTTGGAGCACTCCCATTGGCTGAAATGGTGACAAAGATTCCCTTTTAAAGTAATCTTTCAATCTCAGCTCTGGCTTCAAGCCATACTAACTGAGCTCTTACTAGAACCCCATTAAATGCAGAAAAATCCCAAAATATTGCTTCTCCATGGAATGCCCCTTGAGTACTGACAAGGGTGCCCAGATTAGGTGTTCTTGTTGTTTTTCACAGAGTACTGACCTTGG